GTGTGTGTGTGTGTGTGTGTGTGTGTGTGAGAGAGAGAGAGAGAGAGAGAGAGAGAGAGAGAGAGAGAGAGAGAGAGAGAGAACTGGGAGTCAGACTCAATTTCTCACCATGGCGAGGAATTTACTAAGCTGTGTTCCCAGCCTGCTTTCTTTTTCTCTCCTCCCATTCAGCTAATTTTTTACAAAAATACTTTATTCTGGGCTGGAGAGATAGTAAAGAACACTTGTTGCTCTTCCAGAGGACTCAAGTTCAGTTCCCAGCACCCACACTGGACAGCTCATAACTGCCTGTAACTTCCACTCTAACAGATCTGACACCCTCTTCTCTTCTGGCCTCTGAGGGCCCTGAACACATGTGACATTCACATAGACACAAACAAATGAAAACGATTTTTGAAAAACCTTTAAAAACACATACCATGTAGCTTCAAGGAAGGGGCTCAATCTTGCAGCATTTTGAGCTTCTCTTAGCTGGGGAGAGTCACACAATGACTCTCAGTGTGAGGGCACCAACTCCTACCCCTTCCTATGCCTCATTTGGTTTCCCCAGTCCCTGTCTCCCAAGGTCCTTAGAAAAGGCCGACCCTGGCTGCACCATTTTAAATGGAGGGGGACGGGCAGGGGGGCAGGTCATGGAGGTTTGTGAAAATGAAGGTTCTGATCCAGGTCAAATGCTTGGTGAGCCACAAAGGCCCATAGGAGGAAGCTCAGCTCTGTGGTGCCATCATATCATCCACCAGAGCATCGCCATCATGTGCTTTTGAGGGCTCTGTCTTTTAATTATCACTTTTAATCATGGTAAAACATCCACAACATAAACCCTGTCTCCTTACCCAGTTCAGGCACTAAATGCATTTACACTCTGTGTGGCCACCCCCAGTCTCTGACGGTCCTACACTTCGTGTTCTCTCTCTCTCTCCCTTGCCCTCCTGCTCCCCCCCTCTCTGTATGTTGTGTGTGCAGACGTGTTCATGTATGTCTATGTGGGCACATGTGTCGATCAGAGGACAGTCTCCAGTGCTTAGTCTTACCTTGAGACAGGGTCTCAATTCTTTTAAAATTGTGTATGAGTATATAGTGGAGGCATGCATGCTATGGTACGTGTGTGGAGGCCAGAGAATAGATAACTTTTTGGGGTCCATTATCTCCTTCCACTCTTGCATGAGTTCCAAGGATCGAACTCAGGTCTCCAGGCTTGCACAGTAAGCACCTTTACCCACTGAGCAGTCTCTCCCACAGGAGACAGGGTCTCTTGTTTGCTGCTGTTAGCATACAAGCTCCTGGAAACTCTCCTGCCTCTGCTTTCCAGCTCTTCAGAGGAGTTTGGGTTGCTTGAGCTGCCATACCCAGCTCTGTTGGTTCTCACAATCTGAACTCAGGTCTTTGTGTTTCCACGGCAACCCCTGAGCCACCTCTCCAACCCATCAGTCTCAAATTTTGAGGATTCTGGGGACCTCTCATGATGCAATCATAGGGTATTTATGCTTTTGAGTCTGGCCTGGGTCACTTATCATTCCACAGGTCTTGGGGTAAAGCAACATCCATATTGTGGCATATACCAGAATATCTTTCCTTTTTTAGGCTGAATAGTTTTCCATTATATGGCTAGACCACACTTGGTTTATCCATTCATTAAATATTTGAGTTATTTCCACCTTTTAAACCATGGCTGTGGGCAGATGGACGTGTAAGTGTCTCTTGGAGACTGCTTCATTCAGGAAGCTGTGGCTATCCACATAACCACTGTCTTGTAGACTTCTGTGTGGTTTTCCCCGTGGTATTTTGGAACCCGGGGCCTCACAAGGCTGAGTGAGTGCAATGCAGCACATACCCCCAGGCTCTATATAATGCTTCTCATTTCAGAGTCTCCCTGAGCCGTCTGTGAGCACAAGGGGTGTGGGTTTAGAGCCTTCACCTCAGACCCTGCTGAGAATGTCGATGCACACATGGTCTTACCCCATCTTATAAACGAGGAAATTGGGGCATAGAGAGGATAGGAATCTTATAACTCACCAGGGAAGTTTTAAACCCAGCTCATCTGACGTTCTAATCCAATCACACATCGTTTCACCAGACCATAATAACTGCCATCTCACAGTCAAGCCTGACGTAAGTGGAGCTGAGACTCACAAAGCCCTTCTCCCTGACTCCTACAGTGAGTCTTAGATATTGAGGCCAGTTGTCGGGGACCTCCCTCCCCTTCCTTCACCATCCCTTCAGACACGTGGGCGTGCTAGGGCTTTCCTTTTTTTGAATCCAGCTCCAGGCGGCCATCCCACAGCTCAATAGCGACACTGTGACATCATAAGCTCAGAAGAGTGAAGTGTCTGCTCAGCCCTGAGTGACTCAGACAGGAGGAAGGGTAGGAGCCAGGGGGAGGCTAAAAGCCCCTAAAAGTTTAAAGCAATCCTGCCAAATGGCTGATTGGTCCCATTGAGGTTAGTCTAATCAATTATTAAGCAATACTTTAATATTTTAAGAGTTTGCTCAATCACAGAGAAATGAAAGCATTTCATGATTTTTTCTCTTACATACTTCCAAAAAAAAAAAAAGACAACTAAAACAAATGTAGATATAGTAGGATCTTTTTTCAATATCCTCTGAGTCATTTTTGTATAGGAACTTCTTGTCCCCACCCCGCCCCCCAAGTCCAGATCAGTAGAGCCTCAGTGGGTGCTGAGAAGAGGCTGTGAACAGACTTAATTCTGTTGGCCTGTCAAAAGTCTACCTTCGTTTTATGAGCAACCTGAGCTTCTCCTAGCTTATGAATGGTAGTGTTTTCATGAGAGTGGCCCCTATAGGCTCAGATGTTTGAACACTTGGTCCACAATTGGTGGAACTGTTTGGGAAGGATTATTAAGGGGTGTGGCCTTGTTGGAGGAGGTGTGTCAGTGGGAGTGAACTTTCAGGTTTCAAAAGTCCATGCCGTTTTCAGTTATTCTCGTTCTCTCTCTCTCTCTCTCTCTCCCTCTCCCCCTCTCCCTCTTCCTCTCCCTCTCCTTCTCTCCCCCCCCCCCCGCCTGCCTATTGCCATGCTACCTTCCACAATGCTCATGGGCTCACTCTCTGAAACTGTAAACCCCAATAAACTCTTTTCTTTAAGTTGCCTTGGTCATGACACTTCTTCATAGCAACAGAAGAGTAACTAAGACATTGGTGTCACCACAGGCTGTTCTCAGAGTCCGAGGAGCCAGGCCATGTGGGCAATGCCAGGCGTCTCCTCCTTGACCTGTTGCTGTCCATTCTCCCTCTCCTCTCCTCTCCTGCTCTACAAGTCCAATCTTCCCAGGATCAACAGCCTAGAGTCCGAGTAGAGGATGAGGAGAGCTAAAGTGTAGTAGTGTACATGCTATATTATAGGTACAACCCTGAAGTAAGAGGGGATTGACCACCCATCTTATTCTTTGATCAAGTCTCCATTTGGAGTCTGATGCCTCTTAACACTCATACATACATACATACATATATACATCATACAGAGATTCATCTACTTACTCAACCATCTATATATCCACCCACACACCTATACATCCACCCACCCATCTACCTACCCACCCACTCATCAACCTACCCAATTACCCTTCCATTCATCTACCCATCTATATCAATCACCATTGACCCATCTACCCACCATCTATATCAATCTATTCACCCACCCACCCATTTATCCACATATCCATAAATCCATTGACCTGTCTACATTCTCACCCATCTTTCTACCTACCCATCCATCTACCTACCCATTCATCCACTTACCTACCCATCTATCCATTTACCCATCTACCACCTTAACACATCCACCTATGCACCCATCTACCAATCTTTCTATCCCATCCATCCATTCATCATCCACCTATCTAGTCATTGGCCTGTCTACCTACCCACTTGCTTATCACCTATCTACCCATCATCTATCTATTGACTATCTACCTACCCACCCACCAGACATCTACCATCCACACAATGACCTATCCACCTACCCTCCCATCTACTTACCATCCATCTACTCATTGACTCATAGCCACCATTCATCTATCCATCCACCAGTTCATCCATCTACCAGGCATCCATCTACCTAGAACCTACCTACCTATCATTCATCCATCCATGCACTCATCCCCTATCTGTCTCCTGAAGGGTTTCCTTGGCCAAAGAACGAGAATCTTCAGTCTTTCAGAGACCACAGCTGAAATAATAATATAATAATAGTAAATTGGGGACTTCCTTACAGAGTTTGTCATTTGTAGCTTTGGGACCTGGTTGGTGAGCTTGTCCTGAACTTTGCTTTTATTGGCATTGGCCCTAGACTTGTTTATTGGGTCTTTGTCTTTCTTAGCCAACTTTCTGGCATCTTTCTTCTTTCTGTTGTCTTTGGGCAGCATGGTGAAACTCAGAGAGCAGTGACCACTGAAGTCATCAAAAAGAAACCTCTGGTTTTTGGTCTGTCAAATAAGGACACTCCAGCCTTCTCCTGGGGCTGCAAATGAGGAGATCTGTGAAGTGGTCTGCATGCTCGACAGCCTCCAGCACTTCCTGCCTGCCCATCTTCCAAGAGAAACTTGTTGGAGGGAGGTTGTCTTAGTTAGGGTTTCTGTCACTGTGATAAAATATCATGACCATAAACAACTTGGAGAGAAAGGGTTGATTTCAGCTTAAAACTCTCAGGTCACGCCCCACTGCTGAGGGAAGTCAAGGAAGGCACTCAAAGCGTGGGAATCTGGGGAAAGGATCTGTCTTGATGCCCTGGAGGAGTCCTGCTGACTGGCTTGTTCAGTTTGTTTTTTCTATACCCAGGACCACCTACGCAGAGGTAGCACCACCCACAATGGGCTGGGCCCTCCCATGTCAATTACTAATTTAAAAAATGCACCACAGGCCAATCTGGTGGGGGCGTTTTCTCAACTGAGTTTCCCTCTTCTCAAAGGACTCTAACCTGCCGGGCGGTGGCGCATGCCTTTAACCCCAGCGCTCGCTCGAGAGGCAGAGCCAGGTGGATCTCTGTGAGTTTGAGGCCAACCTGGTCTACAGAGCAAGATTCAGGCACCAAAACTACACAGAGAAACCCTGTCTCAAAAAGCCAAAAACAAACAAACAAACAAACAAACAAAAAACCCTCTAGCTGTGTCAAGCGCAGGGGGTCAAAGCTTTGTGATATTTCCATGAATTATTCGAAATCATTTATCTTGTTTAGATCATATATCCTAATTAATGCAGATCTTCGAGACTGTTTTGTCTGTAAAGTTTTCTGAAACGGGCCAACACTTTAAACTCCAATGACCTCTACCTCCCAACCCAGACTCTCTCTCTTTGTCCACTGGGGTTCCCAAGGCTGCTGGCTTCTGCTCATGGTAGAAGTCTTACCACATAGCAGAAACATAGGAACCAACTTTTGACTTTTCTGAACCCCAAGCTTCACCAGCCAAGGGCATTTTGTGATTGATTTGCCTCCATACAATTCACAGGTGACTAACATGCCTCAAAACTCCTAAGCTGCTCCTGGCAACGCACTCCACCGATGCTGATGCTGTGTGCGCTGTCTGCTGCATACGTACGTCACTGCCAAGTGGGTGGATGTGAGGCAACGGCTGAGCTGGCCCCAAGCCTTTCCTACGTTCCCTGGGTTCGATAACAGGGTTTGCGTTGGCTCCTCAGTCAGGGGCTCTGTATATCCTAAAGATGGTCCCTGAAATATTTATCAAGAAGAAGATCTATTTTTAACTGGGGCTGATTTCAGTTCTATTATTCATACAGCCTTGCAGGGCAGGCCTCATGCCTTTGTGCTTGCGAGAGTGAAACAGAGCAGAGGCAGCTGAGCCTGGGCCTGGGGACGGCTAGGGATTTCCAGGGGGCGGGGCAGGAGAGGAACAGCAGCTTCATCTCCCAAACCTCCTTTCTTGGTCAGGTCACTCTGCCCTCATTTTAAAAACAGAGCCACCTCCGTCCCCCTGCCAGCCCTTGAGGCCCCCTCTTCCAGAGAGATGGGCCTGGGTCACCAGAAACCGTCCAGTATAATGCAGGGCAAGCCATCCCTGTTAGAGAAAGCACCTGCTTCCCTGGCGGGCTCCTGCTGACAAGGTCTTGAAAAACAAGCTGGAACCTGTCAGAACCAGAACAAGCACACACGCTGTTACCCACTGAGCCAGGGCAGACAGCTGGTGACAGTGCCAGAGGGATGGCCTCCTGAGGGACACGGTTGGGAACCCTATATTCCCCCTCCCCTGAAATCTCTGGGTACAAATCTAATGAGCAGCTGCTCACCTGGAGCTAGTAGGAGGTCTCCTGCACAGACTGAGCAGGGGGAGGCCAGAGGAAGGAACATGGTGGGGTCAGGATGATGAGAGAGGATCCTGCACCCTGGGACAGATCTGGGACCCAGAGCAGGCTCTTGGCCACTCTTGGCCTCAGAGTTTTAGCTGAAAATGGGAACTCCAGTAACCTGTGCCTCCTGGATATTGTTAAATTCAAGGATATTCTGTCCTTGCTTCTTGTCTTTCTGTTTTATTGGCCAGGGGCAGAGGATGGGCAGACACAGTCTCATTTGGCACCAGGTCAGTACCTGAGGTACCCTCTGAGTTCATCCCCACCCCAGAGCCTCTGCATCTTGCATTGCTGTTTGTGGTTGCCAGTCTACAAGTGAAGGGTCTATTCCTGGAGACCCCTGGTTCCTCCTCACTCACACCAGGGACACATAGTGTCCAGCAATGCTCATACAGGCTCTGGCTTCCTAGGGATGGCTCAGATGTCCAGGAGACCATACAGGGTCCTATTGTCTTGGGATGTTCTTTCCTATTTCTGGAGGTTGGCAGAATGTGAAGGGACCATGCAGGTACCTGACTCCTGGCTTAACTCCTCCATGCCAGCCTGACCTGAATGAAACCTGGGTGGTTGACAAGGTTAGGAGACTTGGAGGTCACAGACCATCAGGCTCACACTCAGGCAAGGAAGATGGGCACTGGGACATGTAGGTCAGCCCAAAGGCCCATGTAAAACCTAATTATGCAGCGCTGTGAAGGGAGCTGAGAGTCTTCTGGCCTCAGGGAAGGTGGCTGGGTCAGAGTGGCCTGGGCTGGCTGGCTCTGCTCATCCTGACCTACCTTCTGGCTCTTGGGGCTTAGATCCTTAGTAGACTCCAGCTGGACAGCATAAGATAGGAAAATGGCTCAGAACCTTCCTGCTTAGCACAGATAGAGATA